GCCACCGACTGAATTATTGTACTCGGGGATCCCTAAATCATAAAAACGACAAATTTCACACGGCGGGTGTACGTGCGTTGTATAGAGGCTGGTGTGTTCTAAAACGTGCATGCTCGTCCGTCGCCGTGCTATTTACGTATTTTTATACGGACATAGCAGCGGGCATAGCAACGGTACCATTTTTTGAATCGATTGAAATATGAGGTTACGGAGATGATGGTGGGCTAGCTTAATGAAAAATGGTAACTTGAGGGTAGCGGGATTCGCGCGTTGCACGATGCTGCGTGTACATGCTTCAAGTTGAATTCGCTTGATGCCTCTGAACCCTTGTCACGCGTTGTCACGCGACGCCCCCATCGAAATGTTTCTCACCGAGCTTGATCCACCAGACTCGTTGGGAAAGTTTCACGGAATGGATATTAATGATCTCGCGACAGCAGATGCGTTAACGTTGCGGGTGAAAATGCTTGGTTGTACATATATCGCGTACGCGTTTTCACGGGTAGTTTGTCACGCGTAAAAATCTCACTCGGAAATACACGCGTGTGCGTGCCCGGTACCTGTTTCGAATATTTCACGAGTACGATTCGAAAATATTTCCAGCCGCGGCGCCGGCTATCGATTCGGTCTAGGAATGCGGCTCTGTTTGTTCAGAAATGCACATAAACGTGGAAACAAGTAATTGAATCGAATGTGGAAGGAAACCGCGTGTATCCATTCGACTGCAGAAGCAGATGACTGGGAGCTCCCCGTTTACACGATCTAATACGGATTTGTCAGCACACGATTCCCAATCTCCCCAAAATCCGCTGAAATCTGCGATTATCGTGCGCAAGAGAAAGCCCGAGGCTCGAACTCTATTTGAGGTCGATCCAGTTTCCGACGGTGCGTCCTGCTAGATTTGGGTTTCCGGCCGTGGTACCCTCTCGAGGCATCGAATCGTATGGTCGAATTGGGAGCATACCACGGCTCGAACAATGCTGCTTGCAGCTAGATCTGTAAAGTCCTCTCAATTATACGGCGATGCTAATTACTCGCGAGTGCGCATTGAAGAACGCCCTTTAGTCCGCACAACGACCCTTTACACAGCTAGGTCTACCCTTTCATTCTCTCCTCGTTATATCAGCCAAGGATGAAACGGAATTCTTGATTGGACCCGCTGTTTGTACGATAGTTCACCCTCTTCCATAACCGTGCTTTTACTTCTTTCCTTGTAACTCCCAAATTTAATCCCCTTTGCAGAGAGTTTAATTTTTCTCACTGTATACAGATCGTTCGTTTTAATGAAAATTAGCAACAGGATAAAGGACCGTTGAATTTGGAATCTTTCAACATTCTGGATTTTTTCTTTTCTTTTTTTTTTTTTTTTTTTTTTTT